ACAAATCTTTTTATTCTGTGCTTGCACTTTGAAAGAAAGCTTAGTATTAAGAAGGCTCAGTAGTTTTTATTAAATGAATATCTGATGTCGCGTTCACATTAGCGGGGCTATAGTCACGCACTTGCTCCTTTTTCCTTCTGAAGAGTTGTGAGGACCAGTTTTCCTGCCATCTATATTTCTGTACTCACAATTTTGCATTTACTATGAGCAGTTAGAGCTCATCTGGCGTTGTAGGTGAAGGTGCTCTGTGTCGCACACAAGGTCGATCGTTCGATCTCATCTTATGGCTCAACATGCTATCCATTTCTCTGGGATTGGGAGACAGGTACCAGATGATCGCAGAATTGTCAGAAAGGATAAGCAGCGCTGACTCGATACAGCGGGAGGCCACGCGAGTAAAGGCCAGATATGCATTAAATCACATCAAATACAGTTGAAAATTTGAAGGCGAATGCATGGCGCGTCCCCTAGGAATTGATCAACGCCGAAAGCTTTACCTTTATAAGCAGTCAAGCCTGAATTTGAGAATATACTCAGTGGCAACATCAGAAAGTGATACTTGGCAAACTAGCACAAAATTGAGCTTCATCAAGCTACTGATGCTAACATCCGGTACCAGCGGCTAATTCGTAGTCCTAGTATCCCTTGGAAGTGCTGTAGTCGTCTTCTAATAGTGGGAGCCCGTTAATTGATTTCTCATGCAAATAATTTACCTCTATATCAGTGATGAGTAGTGTGATCACTTTTATGTAATACTTTGAAGCCATCAAGAAATTCTGTTTATACGGATTTTTCACAGCTATGCACTTGAAATATAGTTTCACTTCTTATCGGATTTCTAGAACGTCTTCAAACTAATTCATTTGCAAATCCTCTTCTAGTTCATTCGTTATCTTATCGTTTAGTATTATTCATTTCTTCTTTGTTGTCTTCAGTTAATTCGGTGCTCGACCACCAAACGGTTGGAGATTTATTAGCTGGTAGACTTCCATTCTTATACGATTCTTCGTATATATATTCCAGACTTTACTATGTTCTGTAAGTATTGATACTTGGCATTCCTCAAAGGTTCTCCACTACTTTTATATATATATATATATATATATATATAATTATATATGTAAATACATGTAAATATAAATATATGTATATATAGCTATATATAGCCAAGGCATGATCTGCTTTTTTGAAATGAAGCGTGCAGGATTCTAAGTTGGTACCATAGAAACTGAGGAAGAAACAGCTTCTCTAAACAGTAACCTTCAGTGGATATTCAGAGAAATAATTGGTCCCCAATAACTTTTTTTTTGCAGGTTTCACGTTTATCTTTTCGATGACATATCTCCTGTCAAACGTACATGTCGTGACCTCACATAGTGAACATCCAAAACTTTTGCTAATCTCACTAGATGGTTTTCGATATGATGCTCTCAACGAGACTTTGGTGAGATACATATGTTTTCGGAGGGAAAGGAGAAAGCGACACAAAGCAGCTGCCTAAAGATATTGCGAAATGTACCCAAAATTTTCATCAGCATCTCGGTTTTACTTCTTGGTAGTAAAGGGCGCGCATAGCGCTATGCCTGGAGGCATCCCGCGAGACTTGTGAAAGATTATTTGGTCGCGTTTCAGAGGCTTGCCAATCATTTTATCCCCCGTAGTGTAGTTACAGACTTTTATCAGATTTGTCTTTAACTTTTTATTGTTGTTGACGCTGGTTTGGTTCTCAAGCGTCGTTGACACATCCACGAGATAAGGCACGAAGAAAAGAACTTTTGAAATCGTGATTCTATTGTTTACAACTCCCAAGACCGACTGTCTATTAACCTCGGCATGCTTCAGTATGATTCTTGATTTTCTTCTTGAGCAGAACAAGAGGTGTTACATTAAACTTTATTCGATAGCTGACGTTTCGGCAGTTCGCCTTCTTCAGAGCCTGGAAAGGTCAAAACGTTTGCAATACAATCAGTCATACACCTCCATTACTTCTTTAGAGAAAATCACCAGACCTAGATTTCAATCGCATCAAGCAAAAATCAACACTCAACATACTCACCGCTTTTTATATGTGTTTTACTGGATGATCCAAGTGGAGATCACCGGCAGGAGAGACACATAGGCTCGTAATGCACCCTACCCATCAAAACAACAGTCTTATATACTGGCTCATATTACGAGTGTTTACAAGGCATTCCTCCCTGCGGTTTATGGTTGGATTGGTCGTATTAATCCAAAATGCTTCCAAGATCTTTCGCGCTGATGTTTTTTGCTCCTGCGCAAGGATGGTGACTTCGATTTCAAAATCGACTCCGTCGTGCTTCTGTGCTCTATGCGTCCCTAGCGGGGTGTTTTGTCTATTAAGACGCTTGTCAGCTAGGTGTTCTTCTATGCGTGCATAGAGCGGCCTACCCGTTTCGCCAACATATTTATCACTACACGCTTTGCAAGAGATTAGGTAGACTGTACCTACGCTCATGCAATCACCGTCTCTGTCATTAGGACATATTTTACAATCTTTCATCATACAGAGACGGTCATATAAGCGATTGCGAACTAGTTGGCGTTTTAGAGTATTCGGTGGTATTTCAATAATGGCCACCGATTGCTCTAAACCCGTCTTTTCAAATATCGTTTTATAGCTGTACTAATCTCATTTGAATAGAACGGGATGATAAACGGGACTTTCCTTTCAACTAAGTTTTCGTTCGGAGGCGCATTATTTCCTCTAAACCTAAGCCGAGGGGCTACGAATTCGTATCCATTAGAAGTGGCTATTTCCCGCGCCAGTTTCACGGATTCTACTCTCTGCTCCTCCCCGGTACATACATTGCCTGCTGTTCGAAACATGTTTTTTACTAGCGCCTTCTTCGTATGTGAGGGATGAGAAGAGAGATAGTGAACCAAGATATTCTTACTACTTGGCTTTCGGTACCACTTCGTTATGTAGCCGCTCTCAGTTAAGCTTATTTGCACGTTCAAGAATGGAAGCCAATCGTCTTTTGGTATCTCACGGGTGAATCTTATATACTCTGACTGTTCATTCAACAATCTAAAACAATCATCCAGCTCCTCATGAGTGGAACAGATAATCAAACAATCATCTATATACCTACAGTAGAGTAATGGCCGGAGATCCATCACTGGTGCTTCCACTTTAGACATAAAGGCAATGACCAGGCTAGGTGCCAGTCGCTGTCCCATTGCCAGCCCTCTGGTTTGAGCATAATAATTCCCGGACCATCTAAAGATTGAGCAGTTCAAGAACTCTTTTAGGAGGATCATGAACTGCTCAGTCGTCAAGCCATACATATTTACAGCTCCCTGGTGTTGTATAAGAAGCTCATGTGTGGCTTGCAATGCGGAGTCATTCGACACGTTAGTATATAAAGCAGTGACGTCGAATGACTCCATTACGTACGCGTTGTTCGAGTTCGCGTTACGTAGACGATCCAGGAACATCTGAGTGTTTGTCGGATGGGCTGGAATGTGTCCTAGCAACTGGGATGTTATTAAAGTCAAGAACCATGCTATCCTATCCGTCGGTCCACCTACACAACTGATGATAGGTCCAACTTTGAATATTGATGGATCGTTAGACATCAGATCATTAGTGGATACTAACTTATGTGTTTTATGAGCAAGTATAAGACAGGACATGTTGGTGAGTGGATTTTGATTGAGAAATGGTAGATGGTCTTAAGCCTGCCGCTTTTGCCGTACGGACCCACTCACTGTTTAATTTGCGGTTTTGCCTTTTGAATTCCTTTACAGAAGATGATCGGTAAAGCGTGGCATCTTCGAGATGCTTGCTCGTTATTGCGATATCTAACTGTCGAGGAATCACAACAAATTCTCCACCCTTATCACTAACTGATAGCCTTATCCTACCTTCGCTTATCAACTCTCGAACCTCTTTCATGCCACGTTTTTGTAGTTCGGTGAGGTTCGATTGATATCTTCTCCTGCTATAGTGAGTGAGGGTTCTAAAAGTTTCGTCCGCAAATTTCCGGAATTTTCTATCTACCTCCTCGTTGGGGTCTTGTTGTCTATAGAACGGCTGAGGAAACGTCACCTATCGAATAAAGTTTAATGTAACACCTCTATTGTTTACCTCAAAAAAGAAAAAGTATCTCGAAAAATGCTTTCGGGTTCCAAAAATCAATTTAAAAGCCCAATAATGATTAATCGTATGTACCGAAATCTATGCATACGTAACGTAATAAATTTTGAAATACCGTGTAGTTGGGGTTAATAGTGTTATGATGTGCTAATACTTCACGCTAGAAAATTTGCTCGCTCCGACCATAGCACAAAATCTTGTTGATCTCAGGTTCCTAACATTTATAAGTTTGCTCGTAGTGGAACATGGTTTATCAATGGCGTGCAACCACAATTTGCCACATTTACCTCCACTAATCTTATGAGTATAGCGACAGGTACGGCTAAAAACAAGGCGAATAATCAAAGGCAATTTGCCAGTGACTACATTGTACTTGAATTTTATGAAATTTTTCTTATTTTGGGTCTTTATGCTGAGAATCATGGTATTGTTGCTAATGCTTTCTATAACAGCGCCTCTTATGATCTGTGAGTATCTTAGTTCTCCTACCTTATTACTATTTTGGCCTATTTTGATGAAAGTTCAAAAATGGAAAATCTATAAAAATAATTCAGTTATCTCAATAATGTGGAGTGCTGTGCAAAAGCATTTGCGTCAGCCGAGATTCGAACACATGTCTCACTCTTTCCGGGAGCGTAAGCTAACCATTGCACCACCGACGCTCGTTTTGCACAGCACTTTTTTTTCACGCTATAACGCGTTGTCTGTCGACAGCCAACCGTCGACGGTGTGACGGGGCAGCCGCTTTCGGCATTGAAGCCACTTGTGTTGACAGACATTGGGTGTCGATAATCAGTCAGAATTCTTTTCATTTGAGTTCCATTTGCAGTGGTATGATGTTATAGTATACCTGATAATGTGGAGTGCTGTGCAAAAGCATTGCGTCAACCGGGATTCGAACCCAAATCTCATTCTTTCCGGGAGCGCATGCTAACCGTTGCACCACCGACGCTCGAAAAGAATGAGATCTAGGTTTCAGTCTCGGCTGACGCAAATGCTTTTGCACAGCACTCCACATTATTAGGTATACTATAACATCATACCACTGCAAATGGCAATCAAATAAAAAGAATTCTGACTGATTATCGATACTCAATGTCTGTCAACACAAGTGGGCTCAATGCCGATAGCGGCTGTCCCGTCAGACCGTTGACGGTTGGCTGTTGGCAGACAACGTGTTATAGCGTAAAAAAAAAGTGCTGTGCAAAACGAGCGTCGCTGGTGCAACGGTTAGCATACCTTCTCGGAAAGAGTGAGGTCTGAGTTCGAATCCAGGCTGCCGCAAATGCTTTTGTACAGCACTCCACATTATTGGGTATACTATAACATCATACCACGCAAGTGGCAGTCAAATAGAAGAACAGTTCTCATTTTCAGATTTGACTACTTTAATAAAAAAAATTTGATCCCATCTATGGATACATCTGACAAGGAGGAATGGTATCATGGCGAGCCAATTTGGGTAACAAATGAAAAGTACGCTGCTGCTTAACAGAATATGTCCATGAGCAACTGTCACTCGTAGACGTGCTGTTTTACAAACGAAAGTACAAACAGCTATGCAGGCTTAAAGTATTTCAAACTACTTGTCTACGACTGTCTTTCAGCCTTGCTTGGTCAATTTTAGCCGTTCTGTAGATGGCGAGACGTTTTTATCGTTATTGAGACAACTTATATTCTCGTACCTCAAAGTATGGATTGAGGCGTCCATACGTTTTTATAGGAAAACATCTTCGCTTAAGAGAGAGAGAGAGAGAGAGAGAGAGAGCAGCCTTGACTCAATGATTTGATAGGAAAAGGAGTATAGTGAGCTTCCACTGTCTAGTGGACCTGTTTTCCATGGTCAACCCATCACAACAGACGATTTTCGAAGTGTGGTTAGTGCTTTAACCAAGGACAAAAAAAGATGCTTTCAGAATAGTTTTATGGGTGGTTACATTCTTGGATAACTTATTCCTATCTGTACCATGGACTCTAAAACACTCTCCATTCATACCTTCTTTGCTTATTTTAAAGCTCAGCGATAGTCATTTTATTGTTCTGCGATTACTTTCGCACTACTGTTTTATTCGGTTTTTTACCTATTTAAAAGCTGATCATTGCCAAAAGAATCTTGTCAGATGTTGGAGAATCTTCTGACAGCTTTGTCCGGACACTTGAATACTGCCATAGCATCATCTCTCGCCATCTGAATAGAAGAGATTAGAATAGACTACGGCGAAGTAACGTGTTGATGGTCATCTCGTGCATCGACCGGCCACCTCACATCACAAGATCAACTCGTCGTAATCTGGAGAAGTTGGGCTAGGCCACAATACCACATCCACCGTATAGCCCTGACATTGCTCCATCGGATCGTCATCTCAATATGTTTGAGAGCTATAACTAGCTCAAAAGTGACCTCACCAACTTCTTTGATCGCCGGCTTCTTTCTCTGAGGGAAAGATTTCCAGTCTCTCCCAGCAAATGTTTGCATACATTCATCATAAAGGTGACTATTGACTACACTGTTGACTAGTTTGGCCAACTAAATAAAATTGAAATGACAAAAGCATCAAAATGCAAAAAAAAAATTATGGAGTAGAGCTTCTAGTTTCTTTGACTCGTTAGTTGCATTATCGAGAGGTCCAACGACAACTCAATTGCTCTCTCCTATTGCTTGCTTATCGTATTGTTGTTTTATACTTATATATATTCCGGCCAAAGTCTAATTACGTGTATGCTGCTCATCTTTCCTTATCCTTCTTTTAGCTAATGTCAATCTCAATCAACAACTTGAGTGAAGAATTAATAAAATAGGGAGCAAGCAGATGGGATCTCTTCGTCTAGGTTGTGAACTATCTTCTTCTGAAGAACAACACTGTCTTGATGGTCTCTCTTTGGATATAAGCCATGCGCTCTAACACATTAACACATGAATACCGGACTAGATTATAATGAGTGCCAGGAGATTTTCCAGATATTCGGGTGTTATCCTGTCCGAGCCAGATTCTGCACTGCAAATGCTCTCCTCAGTCTCCGCAACATCGACCGTGACTGCTACACCTTTTTTAAAAAATTTTTTCTCGTCTTTTATTGTGTTTTTTTTACTCCATATGTGAATAGACGATTGCCTGTGGCTTGTTTGATTCCAACTTGTCGTGTAATCTTCAGTGTTCTTGGAGACTAAAGCCCCTAGTGATTTTGAAACTCTTGGATTTCATAGTGCCACCGTCAGATATTGGGTATGCCGCTCGTGTTGTCCATCGGTATTGTTAATGATTTATGGTAGTTTTAGGATTACGTTATTTGAAATTAGTGTGCTATTCTTCGTATACAATTTGCCTAAGTGGAAACGCACAAAGACACACATATGCCAGCAATAGCTGCGCAACAAAAACAGTATGTGCCAAGTCAGCGCTGCAGAGACAGAAATCTTCGGATCGACCTGCGCCTTGTGCAGGCAGAGGGACGCTTTCAGTTTGCATTTAACAATCTGCCCCTGACCTTAGGACACTACGTAGCTTCGCGACTTGCAAGATGAGATTCCTCTGCGACGAAGCTTCGTGAAATTGCATCTTATGCTGTAGAACTCTGCTTGCCGTCATTCAACAATGAACAAGAAGTGATTATATTGCTCTCAACAAGCTCTCCTCAATTTTTGTGATTTCTAGTGATTATTGATCCATTTCAATGTTTTTGAGAGCGGATCCGTCAAGACGTTCAGCCTGTCTCTATTGGCCATTCGGACACTCGACTTTCCCAAATGCTAAGAAGCCAACATTCTCCAAGTTAGTCAGTCAAAGCTAGTCATAAAATAGGATATGATGTGATATGCTAAGAGAGTATGTGACATGATATATATATATATATATATAACACATATATATAACACATATATATATAACACATATATATAACATATATAATACAAATATATATATATACATACTTATATAAACATATATATGTATACATATATATATATTTGTTTATTTTTTCATTCATTTAATCACATGACCCGTCATCGCAATTTTTATTGTGCAGATCTAGTAATTCTAGCATTCAATTCGTTTTGCGTCTTCTTTTTGATTGACGTAGAATACTTATCGAGCATGTCTCTTTACAAAGTCGATTACAACCTGGCTGTGGCGCTCCATAGGGCGTTCTTGCTGACTGCCGTAAAATGTTGGGGGAGATAAGAGAGGGAGAAGGAGTGCTCGGGCGCGCCATATATATATATATATATATATATATATATATATACATGTATATATATTTAGTATATATGTAATTATTTATTTATTTGTAATGCCACTTGTTTTCATTAGTCATGACGAGTGAGAGAAATTCGAGGAATTTTTAATTTGCCACAGCACTGTTCGATATTGGTTTATCATGTTCTAAGTCGTTAGTTGGGTCTAAGTAATAGACAGACGCTTGTTTCGTTCCCCAGGGCTCTTCAGTGTTACAGTCTCTTAGTTCAGCCGATCTCTTGTGGCTATACTCCTTCATGAAGGAATCGACGCCGAGTAATAACTCACTGTACTGTTTGTAAGATAGTCTCATCATGACAGCAGCCCATTAGCAATCCAATGTATGGAAAGCTTTGACGAAGAACATTCGCTTGCACTTAGAGTGACTGAAAAGAAACAAAGTTGGCTGATACACTTTTTCCTCCTATTTTCATACATAATATGTATTTAATTAGAAAGTGGATGCGGTATCACACCCTGGAGGAATGGAAGGGCGACGTCGACACTATAGTGGAGTTTTTTGTGAGGAAGGAAGATCCTGTGAATTTTGTTGCTTGGTAAGAATGCAAAAATTTTGAGGCATTCATAAGGCTAATGTGAAAATTCTTAGAGAGTTTCTTATATAAAATACTCATAGGACATGAAAGACTTGGTAGAATATATTATATTCTGTGAATCTCGTGAGCGAGAACTTGTGCGTGTTATAAAAAGTGCTAAGAAGGTTCGTGTTAGATGCAGCCGTTTACTTCGATGCTTAAACGGCCCGTCTTTATTGATAGCTCGAGCTCCAGCACAGGAAAACTGCACTGATATACCTATACAATTGACTGTTTTTTCTTCTGAGACCTCGCCTATAAAAGTACATGATCTGATAACAGATTTCAAGCCTCTCATGAGGTTTATTATGTCACTTATAAAGCGCTAGACGCGTGTTTCGGCCTTCAACCTCATCAGATGCACAGTGCCTTCGTTTCAGCCAATCCCTCGTAAGGGGACCTAGTCCTACATGTAGAGGGATCGGAGGCGAAGATGCTACATTAAGCGCGCAAGGTGAAAAGATCACTTCACATTGCAGAGATTACAAAACACTACATATTCAGTGATAAGTTCACCCGGCACTATAGTGATTAACAGCCGATTGCTCATGTGTGGTAAATTGAAAATTACCCCAACATTGCATTGTTTTTTTGAGGCCTTGCTTGGAACGATAGTAATCTGATAACATATTTTACTGTGCTGGTATAGCTGCTTTGTTACTTGGAGGCACGAAACAAGCTTAGTCGAGGGACTTTGTTTATACCGGTACCACAGTAGAGCAGTCGACGTGCCTTGTGAATCACAAAGAGTTTATCACCTTGCGAATAGCTAACAACGGCGGTCATTTCTTGTGCGCTTACTCATATCTGGGCTTTCCGAATGAAAACGTCGGACTTCTTCTCAACTTAGGTGACCCTACTAGAGGCTGAACCTTACGTTGTACTTGTCCAACATCCAGCAACATCTCCCAGGCACAGTGAGACGGCAAACTAATCCAAAGGAGCCTCCTCATAAAACATTTTTACTATCATTTTATTTGATCCGTCATCATGGTGTTTGTTTTCACTGTGCCAATCCCCGACTTCTAGCATTCAATTCGTTTTTCGTCTTCCTCTTGAACGGCGTAGATAACTGGTAGAGCGAGTCTCCTTGCGATCTCGAGGAGATCCTTGCTGTGGCG